ACTTCATGGATCATTCTTTTTGATATTTAGATTATGGCGATATCACTATTTTCCTTTGCTTATGTATCCATCAACATTTTATTAATAAATTTTTAGAAAAAGAAAAAAAGAAAGATACTATTATTAAAATTTAAATCATGAAAATTCTTTATCTATCATCGACAATATTTTCATAATGAAAAATAATAATATTTCCACAATGCGTTAAAAAACCTTATACTGTACTATAATTCCTCGTTTAGTAAAGATTTGTTGTGGTCTTTTTCAGGAGAAATCAAAACTTAACGGACCATTATGTAATTTTCCGTAATATATAAACCTACACGCGCTTTATAATCGAAGAGGACCTTATCCCACGCTCTCGTCTCTTGAACGTGCTCCGGTGAGATTATAAACCGACGACCTCTGGCGCCAAACACACATCTCCGTCTTCCTCGCCTCTTCAATTTACCGTTTTGCCCTTCTCTCCGTCTTTGAAGATAATTCTTCCTCTCTCCTAATTCAATTCCAAGTAAACCCAAATTCCTCTCTCAAATTTGAAATTCCGGATTTGTTGATTCTCCGGTTTTTGTTAAATTACCTTCGATTTTTCGTTGTTGTTGCTGCTACATTAATGGTGGTTTTTGATTTTCTCTGATCCGTTGTCGTCGCCGTATGGTTCAATTTCTCCGGCGAGCCGGTATTGAATTCGATTCGAGCTATTATTTTTATTTCTTCTTTAATCTTCTTGAATTTTACTTATCCCTAGATTTTAAAGTTTCCTTTTCTATTAAGTATTACAAATCTCCGGAAATTTTCTAGAAACTTCTTCACCTCCTTCGTATAATTTCTGTGGAGAATTTGGTTGTGTTTTTTTGTTGTATGATAAATTGATGATGAAGGATTTTCTCTGAAACTAATTGTTTTTGTTTTCAGTGATTTTGAGGTTAATTGGGAATTAGAGTGCAACATTCGGATTTGATGGGGAATTTTGACGAAACTAAATGTGTTTTCCCCTTGACGAGTCTCCAGATCGGGTAATTAATTCTCTCATTGATCGCAATGCCATTTTTTTTTTTTTTTGAATTTTATGATTCAGTTTGCTCTTAATTGTTCGAATCTCAAAATTTTGTAACTTCAGAGATCAATGATTCTTGCAATTTATGTCTATGATGAATATGGAGCTATGTGATCTGTTTTGTTTTGTAGGAAAATATAGTTTCCTTTTCGGTATTTGCTTTTTCAAAATTTAAACAAAAGCCTTTGTTTTCAGCCATTATAGAACCTTTTTAAGACAACACTTTGTCATTCGGTCATTCCAGACAAAACCAAGATCTGTTTTTGCTTCAAGCAATCTCTTTCTTTTTTTCACAGCTTTAATTTTAATTGAAATTATGAATGCATGTAGAATTCTTGTGCTGGGCTTATATTCGTTTCCTGAATCTGAAGTAGAATCAATTCTTGGTTTTCATGTCTGAAACATCTCCCTGTGAAGTGGAATATAGTTGAAGCAATTCTCTTGTCCAGTTTCATGAATTTCTGCTACTCTGTAAAAGGCAATAGGGTTACGTATGTGATTGTTTTTAAAGCTCAATTGTGTTGGCTTCTTTTTCTAGCATCACAGCTCTTAATCTGTTGCGTGTTTGTTTTAAAGACTAAACCATATTGTCACATTTTATTTGCCTCATGTCCTCTCTGCTCAATTGTGTTGGCTTTGTTTTCAGAGACTTGCAATCATATCTTTCCGATCTCAGTATTTTCCTCGGGAATAAAAGTAAAAAAATTTACATATTGGTGGACAACCGGCCATGGTTGAATCCCGGTACCCGATCTGCTCATTTCTGGCAACTAATGGTTACAAAGGTTGTGAAAGCTGATCCTATAGTACATATTCTGTTTTGTTGCTCGGGTGAAAATTATGATGAAGTAAACCGTCTATCTTTGTTTGCAGTCCAGACTCTCCCCTTTCGCAAACTCAAAAGGTCGAG